TGCTTAAGCCCAAAAGTTTGAGGTTGCTGTGAGCTGTAATGCCTGAGCACTCTACCCAGAATGACAGCTAGAGACTGTCTCAAAAAAAAAAAAAAAAAAAAAAAAAATTGGCTTTATCAAATTCTCCAGTGTAATTGGTTGATAACAAAGGTTTATTTACAGTTAGTATTTGCATTTTGCATTATTTCAGGTCTCCAGTCTTGTTTTAGATCTTTTGATGAAACAAAGATCATGCTACCATGATTTCTACTTTAAGACAAAACGAGCCTACAATTCAAATATATCTCTGGAAAGAACTGAGTAAAAGTATCATCCAGCAAGTTTACAGTGAAAATTACATGCCCAAGGCTTATTGTGTGTTTTCTGGTATTAGCTGTTTAAGTTGGGAGGTTTGGAAGATTTTGTAAATTTTAGCAAAAACATTTAAGTTTTATTAAGTCCATGTATTTCAAAACCATAGTGGAGGCACTTAAGGAAACTTTTAAAAAATATTTGTTTGCTTGTAATGATATGAAGTTCCTAATTATTGAATGTTAAAAATTGAAATTCTCTCATGGGTTCAAAAGAAAAAAAAATGTTTTAGTTGCACCACTTTGTAGGACTGAAAATATTTTCAAATTTAAAAACTTTTAAAAGATGTAGTATTCTCAATTGAGTTAATAACCTGTTTTATCTGGTAAATCTTTTATTAACTAAATTATTTTGGAGTCAAGCCTCACAACCATGCCATTAAAAATAATCTATAAATTGGGGCCTATAGTCTACTGAAGTCAATTACACCTTTCAAATTATACATTCAATGATGTTTTAATGTTTTTAAAAATAGATGAAAGCATTATTTCTCCAGGTAGTTTCACTTTATAAAAAGAAACCCAGAATTGCCTGTGTACATTTCTGTATCCTTGCTCATATTCTTAAAAGCTATTATTAAGTAATTATGTGTTCATAGTTTAGGAGTGAAGAGATTAAGTGAGAATTGCAGCAGCAGAGCGCAGCTTTTCATGAAGGCACCAGCAGATGTCAGCAAAAACTAAGACTGTGTCACATGAATTTTCCACAAGAATGTTGAACTATTTCTAGCTGGGTAACTATAAGGTAGAAAATCTCTTAACTATCAAGAGTTCCATCCAGCTAAGACATCTCAGTTTTCCACACTGTAATGCAACTTCAACCACCTTTTTGGAAGTGGGAGGGCTGTGTAAGACCACAGTGGGATTGGATTTTTAGGATAGCAAAGTTCTTTTAAGGACTTAATTGTTCTTGGTTAAAAAAAAAAAAAAAAAACCCACACTATTTAACAACTTCAACTACACTTGAGACAGTCATCTTCGATGAAAAAAAAAAATGGTTTACAGAATATTCTATATTACACTAATAAAAGTTCAGAGGTTCTGAACACTGAGGTCTTTGTGAGTCCATGAAGGCATTTTTCTGGGCAGAAAGTTCATAGTTCATCAGCTTCTAACAAGAGTGTTTGAATTCCAAAAGTGAAGAACCACGCTCAAACTTACTAAATTTTTTTTTTTTATTAATGAATCACTATCTGTATATACATATGTGGAAATTCCAAAATTGATATGCTAAAAATTATTTGCTTGAAACCATGCCAGGAAAGCAGTATTAGAAAAGACCGTCAGGTTATAGATAGAACTAGACTTAATTTTTTTTTTTTTTTATTGTTTGGGATTCACTGAGGGTACAAACTATTAGGTACACTGATTGTGGTTGTTAGGTAAAGTCCCTCTTGTAATTGTGTCCCACCACCAAGATGTGTGCCATACATCCTAACCCCCAACCCTTACCCCCTTTAAAAATATAAAGTCTTATGTATGATATTCTAAGGTAAACATGTATTTGTAAGAAAAAAATAAGAGAAAGGATCACATGGGATATCATTTATTTTATTCAAACACAGTATACACATGCATTTTTGCTTTAAGGTTTGTGACCAACATTGTTAAGACCAATGTTTGTGGGCTTATGTTAACTTCTCCTCTAGGACTTACACACAGCAGAAAATGTTTGTATAACTTCTAGTTTTTCTTTTTAGATAAATAGAATTCTAAAATGATTTAGCCACCTGGAATATTTATATAAAATACAAAGAGTCTAAATCAGTGGTTCTCAACCTTCCTAATGCTGCAATATATTTTCATTGTTAAAAAGGGGTCATGACCCACAGGTTGAGAACCGCTGATCTAGATAATTTCAATGTATTATATATTTCTGGAATTTTATATTAAAAAACACAAAGGGCTTATTATACAATTTTCCCCAAACACAGCATTTATTATGGTCTACTCGAAATCAGATACATCTTTCTCTGTAAATATTTTTAACGCTATTATAAGGTTTGGTTCCCTAAATGAGCATGATAAACAATATTAAAATTGCTCAAGAAATTTTCCCTTGAAAAAAACTTTCTTATTACTGTCTTTGAAAAACAACACATCTGCTTTAAGAAATGATGAAATACAGCAATGTGAATTTTACTCATTTTTTCCACCCAAAACATATTTCTACTTTAAACACAATAAACTAAGATTTTTACCTTGTCCCTATGAAGAGCCTACTAAGCAATGTACTAACTCATATTTAGAAACAAAAAAAAAAAAAAAGAAAAAGAATGACAGTAGTAATGGAACTAAGATCTAATTAATAATCCTGGATGTTCAAGTAAAATCAGGATGCTTATATTTTCAACAAAAGAAAAAAATAAATGATCAAGCATCTAACTTAAGAAAGCTAAAATAAGGGCGGGTCCTGTGGCTTAAAGGAGTAGGGCACTGGCCCCATAAGCTGGAGGTGGTGGGTTCAAACCCAGCCCTGGCCAAAAAAAACTGCAAAAAAAAAAAAATTTTTGTCAGTGCTCAGATGAAACAGGGGTCCAGGAATTAATAAGCTAATTGTAGTTCTGATAACTAGATTAGTGAACAATTATAACTTAAAAATGACATTTAATTCCAAGGTTGAAAATGCCATTCTGAAGTAAACCAGTTAAAGAAGTAATAAAATTAAAATTTAGAAAAATTCTTAGTTCAAATTGGCCACACAGTTTTAATGGCTGCAAAATATTTCAAACTGCTAAAACGTCATTTGATTAACTGAAGTCCTGTATTTATGGTACAGTATTGTATTCTTTATAACAAAAACCTAATTTAGTAGCAACGTCCTAGGTGACAAAACCTTTTAGACAAAATGACAGATGGCTATCTTTAAAAAAGAAAAGTGCAAGGAGAATACCATTCCCCCATCCTCCGAACAGTTCCCATGGCAATTCCAACATCAAGATTCAATTTCTCTCAAATTTATACTCTGTTTTAACCAGTGTTTCTCCACCTTTTGAAATTATTCCCTAAGGGGGTTTGATAGGTGTTTCAGTCTTAATCACCAACCTCCCTCAAAGTTTCAATACCACAGGTACAGAATCTGTTTATGTATTATATGCATAAAAAGATCTTTTTGTCCCCCAAACAAATTTTCACTAAGAATATATGGTATAAATAATGAAAAATTTACAGTGTTACAACTTTTTTTTTTTTGGCCAGGGCCAGGTTTGAACCCATCACCTCTGGTATATGGGGCCGGTGCCCTACTCCTTGAGCCACAGGCACTGCCCCCAGTATTATAACTTTTTTTATTTGACAAATAAGTGGGGAAAAGAGAAATGTATGTATTTTAACACTTAAGATACACAGATTATTTCCAAAATAGTTAAACACTTAACTAGTCAGTTGTATTAAAATCAGTTTTCCCTGAAGTAGGCACTAATCCCAGCTACGGCCGGTGCTCCTTTTGCTGCAATGGTGTGGGACCATAAAAATGGCCATGCAGAGCAATCTTAATAATCAATGGAGAAAAGTGTGATGGTTTCCTGACCTTCAAAAATCTGTCAAAATATTAAAAACTATCAGTTATAAACGTAGAAGAAAATGCAAAAACATTTAAAAATATTTATTTAGTATATTGTAATTTAAAAAGTTAGAAACATTAAAAGTGTTTTAATATATTGTAAAACCAATAGTCTGAAGAGTGCTTGTCTTTTTTTCTTTTTGTCAATAACTTATACTGAGTAAACATCTTTCCTATACTATGGCAAATTTTAATATTACTTTTAAGTTTCTACCATTTTACCACTTGTGCTTTTGAATGTTGTAAAAATATTTCTGTATTCACATTAAATATCCTTGAATGTGAAGAGGTTTTGTCTTTTTTTAACCTTCCTCTGGGACCTACGTATCTTTTTCATCACACCCACTTTCCTCATTGTTGTTGTTAAGTTTGCCTTCACTAAGTTCCTCTGGATGCACAGCAGGGTCTCTAGAACAGCAGCAGCACCAGCCTTCCTACCATCAGGGATTCCTCCTACCACTCTGTCAACGTTAGTCCATCTAAATGTCATTTCCAGCATTATTACTTTTCATTTCTTTGCTGCACTTTCCTTTTTGTTAACCAGTTCTGTAAAATGTTGTGTGGGTATCAAGATAACCCAACTACATGCTTCACTGTGAATCAATGAAGATGCACAGGGACCAACTATTGGCAGAATTTGAGAGTAACATGACTGGTCCCTGATCACGAAGCACATCTGTTACTTACATAGCCATCTGCGGAGGGATAAGCTAGCAGAGAAGTCTGTACTTCATGTAGTTACTCAGTTAATATACTGTAGTAACTGAAATCTGAACCATGCCAGTAGGAGGCTGGTATTATTTAATTAAGTCATGGTCACCGAAATTTCTGCCTATGGCAAATCAAGGATTGCCTATATACTTTATTTGTATGGCCCAGACTGGCGTAATGCTGACTTCTGAGAAATAGTCCATCTTAACTGCCCATCAAATAATGAATTTTAAAGCTCCTAAAATGCAAAACAGTACGCACTGTGTAGATATTGAGGGGATTTTCAAATTGCTGTCATTTGGCAATCAAGCTTAAAACATGTTTTAGAATGATATGAGAATTTTAGAAACAGATAAAGGACCTTTAAAGACCCCATGGTTTAATACTACAAATTATCCAGCATGTTTGTTATGAATTATTTCTCCTCCTTCAATTTCGATTTGTTCATACAACCACTTGCGGTCACAGCGGCACTCAGCTCCACATTTGGTAGAACCACAGGAAGGACAAGCATAGAAACATCCTAAGCAGTCTTCATCGAGACAGTCACAAAGGTCCATTCCACTGAAAATCAGGAGACCCTGGCTATCGTAGACCTTACTCTTCGCCGGTATCACTTGTCTGTGAAATAAAACACAATGAATTATACTTCATAAATATATTAGTTTTAAGTATTTACTTGAAAATATGGTAACGAAACAAATTTATAGAGATAAAACATTTTGAATTAGATATGAGGCCTTGCCAAAGTGGTACACAAATTACCAGGTACAAGGCTTACTCTATAATCAGTAGTAGAAGAACTCCATGTGAGAAGACCCAATTCTAGAGTGTTGAGAAGAATCCAAAAAGCCTGAATATGCCTTGTGAAGTACATTTAAAAGTCAGCAAGAGAATGGGCAAGAATTTTGTCCAAAAAATAAGTTATAATGATTTCCCCTTTACCTTAACAAAGGATGGCTGGTTAACAGAGGTTAATTTTAATGGTTACCAATCTCTTCACAGTTTTATAAAAATATTTTTATTACAGTATACTACCCTATAGACTTCTATATTGCAATTAATCTTTATTTTTTTTTTTTTTT